CATATCAACTCCTTAATCTGTTCAGATGCAGGAGGACAGCTCTGTCTCCCAAATTTGAAGATCTACGCTTTGGATCTTTCTCTGCCTCCCTCCCGCCCCATAGCAGTGTGCCGTCCACCAGTCCTTCCTACGGAAAGCTGCGTTGGCTGCAGCGGCAGCTTTGGACAGTCCTTGTGCCATGCCATTTCCCGGATCTGGGCAGAGGTCCCGGTTCTCAAGGTGAAAATGTGTAGGGGGAAAATGTGACTCAGGTTTTTTGAGCCGGAGAGGCTGGAAGGAGCTGCTCTGTGTCAGGGGTGAAATTCAAAATTTTTCCCTACTGGCTCTGTGGGTGTGGCTGTGGGCGTGGCTTGGTATAATAGTAATAGCAACCAGGGGTGATTGGCGTGATTTTTTTTAACTGATTCAAATAGTCCCTACCACCTCTCCCAAGGTGGGCTGAGATGGTTGAATTTCACCCGTTCTCTGTGCTCTGCGATCGGAAAGAGAGTCTGCTCAGGTCCGCTGGCTGTCTCCACCCACCTCACTCAGCCTGCAGGACTCTCTGAGTCGGATTTTCTGTCTCAAAGTTTCTGCATCCAGAGTGGCTGCTAGTCGGCAGTTCAGGCTCAGCAGGGAAAAGAGGATTTCTTCCCTCCATCCAAGGTGAGGAGACGAGAATTGAAGGATGTGCAGGAACTGAAAAACCGAGGATCTCTTATTACATCAGAGGTTGACCCAACATCGGGCAGGAAGGGTTGCCTTACATACATTCAGGGTTGGGATTCAAATTTTTTAACAACCGGTTCTGTGGATGTGGCTTAGTTGGTGGGCGTGGCTTGGTGGTCATGTGACTGGGTGGACACGGCTTGGTGGTCATGTTATTGGCTGGCATGGCCAACTCAATATCACTCACATGGAGCCATGCATCTCCTCGCCTGGCCTCTTATGACTGTGGGGATGCTGCAACAGTCATAAGTGTGAAAAACAGTCATAAGTCACTTTTTTCAGTGCCATTGTAACTTTGAATGGTAATTCCACACAAGCAAAGTACCAGCAAAGAAGGAAAAAAAAAAACTGCAGAGAAATTCCAGAGACAGGAAGTCTAGTCCTGCCAAGAATGTAGTAAGAGTTAACAGAGAGGCAGTTTCTGTAAGCAACACCAGAATGTTTCCTTCCTGCCTTTCTTACAGGATTAGGCCAGTAATTTCTTCTAACAACCGATTCTCCAAACTGCTTAGAATGTTAACAACCAGTTCTAGTGAATAGGTGCAAACCGGTAGAATCCCACCCCTTTATACAGTGTATCGCAATATAAGGGGATGTTTAGAAAAAAGAGAGAGTCCCAACACAGGGGAACTTGTTCCACTAGTAATAATAACAATTAAAATGATCTAAACAGAGATGAGTTAATAATGTCTAAAGTAGGATTAAAATATGCAAGTAGTAATTAGTAGCTGAGGAAGTAAAGCGGGGAGTGGGAAAGATCGCTTCTACAATGCTCTTTCTATGCTTCATTTATGTTCTTAATAGCATTCTCCCTCTATCATCCTGAACATTATAATGTGGTAACCATATCTGGGCCAAAGGCCAGGAGTGCATGAAACTCTAATGGCCTTGATAATGCTCCTCTGCTTTCAGTGTGTAATGAAGCCTATTGGATCAAAATATCTTCTAGATCAGGGGTGTCAAACTGGATTTCGTTGAAGGCCAAATAAGCATTATAGTTCTGGGAGGGAGGGAAATGGGATGGACGGCCTCCTGCAGCATCCTGCTGGCCAAAATGGGGTGTGGGGGGCACCCCTTCTGTCCCTCGTTTTGGCATCCACGGCCTCCTACAGCTCTCTGTAGGCCAAAAACAAGCTGCCTGGTCCATTTTTGACCAGCAGAGTGCTGCAGGAGGTTAGGGAGGCTGAAAACAGTCCACAGGGAGAGGAACATGCAGTCCCTTGTGGTCCGGTTTGGCAGGCAGAGGCGGTCCTTTGATATTTCCAGGCCAGCCCATGGGCCAGATTTAAGCACCTGCTCTAGCTTGTCCTGAGATTGTTTCATCCCTGAAATCTTATTACTTCACCTTTTAAATCTAGGAGACGCAGTGGTTAGAATGCAGTACTGCAGGCTACTTCTGATTACTGGCTGCCAGCAGTTTGGCATGGCAATTCAATTCTCACTGGCTCAAGGTTGACTCAGCCTTCCATCTTTCCAAGGTCAATAAAATGAGGACCCAGATTGTTGGGAGTAATATGCTGACTCTATAAACCGCTTAGAGAGGGTTGTAAAGCACTGTGAAGAGGTATATAAGTCTAAGTGCTATTGCTAAATGCTATTCCTATTTTGAGATTTATACAAGAGGAAAAATATTCGTTATGTGACATCTATTGAAGGAAACTGCAGGCATGCCTTATGTATTTGCTTCTGCTTGAAGGGATGATTCAGCAGCCCTTCTAAGAAAAACAACACCCTGGGTAGGGTTTTTTGTTTTGTTTTGTTTTGCCAACAGATCAGAAAGGAATAAAATGAATAAAATTTTAAGGAAAAAAAAGCGAGATCTTCCCAGCTCTGGCTGAATTTATTCAGAGAGAAACTACAGCAGCATAGTAAACAGCTCTAAACTTTCCTTCTATTGGCAAACCTTTGCTCTTTTCCAGAGAAGCTCTTAATGGATCATTAGACTCAAGTCCAGGTCTTGCACTCACAAAGCCAGCAGAGGGGTCTCAGGATCCTCCCTTGAGCGGAAAGTGAAATTATAACCCCAAGGAAGATATCCCCCACCACACAGCTGAATTTAGTGTCTCCAGTGCCACCTTAAGTACCAAAACACATTTTCTCCAGATCCCTATAAACTGGGGTCTAGGACAGACAAGGAAGTGCATATACCTATGCCCACCTTATGAAACTAGTCTTGAACACCCAGGTCCAGGATGTCAGGGAGCATACTGTAGAACAGCGTTTGCCAACCGGTGGGCTGCGGCCCACTGGTGGGCCACGAGAAAATTTTGGTGGGCTGCAGAGAAATCTCACCCCCAGAGCACCCTCCTAAAGCAATTAATCCAGGCTGCGCCGAAATACATGGCCCGCAGGAACCCTCCCTGCCCACTCACTCCTTACCCGGTAAACTTGCCTGCTAAATTGCTATTTTTCCTTTTTCCAACCATCATCTGTTCTGCTGTGGTGAGAGATTTACATTAGCTAGGAAGCAGGAAATGGTTGGATTTCTTGCTTTCTAGCTAGTCTTTAGATCTTTGGCTCAGCACACCCTTAGGACTGAAGGTTTGCTTGCAAGCAAATTCAGTGCAGACTCACAGCAAGCAAATTTGAGAGACTGAGCTAGCCGATGGCAGATAGATCACTGAATAATTCTGTGAGCAACTCAATCTGCCTGCCTGCTTTGCCTGATTTTGGGTAAAAGTTGCTCTTTTTTTAAATAAAAAATTCAATATTTACATGCATGGTGTGTTGTGAGTTAATTTTGTGAGTTTGCTTGCAAGCAAATTTTATGTGACAGACTGAGCTAGCCAATGGCAGATAGATAGATCTCTGAATGAATCTGTGATTCTGTGAGCAACTTAATCTGCCTGCTTTGCCTGATTTTGGGTAAAAGATGCTTTTTTTATAAAAAAATTCAATATTTATATAAATATAATATTTACATACAAGCCATGCCCAGCCAGTCACATGACCACCAAGCCACACCCACAAATTAGGCCACACCCACAGAACCCTGGGATCTAAAATTATGAGTTTGGTGGTCCCTGCGGTCCAAAAGGTTGGAGACTCCTGCTGTAAACCACTTAGAGAGGGCTGTAAAGCACTGTGAAGCAGTATATAAATCTGAGTGCTATTGCTATTATGTTTTTGATCAAGACAGGTCATTGCATGTATACCATGACTAATCAGAGAATTCTGAAGGGAAGGAATAATGTATCATTTTCTATATTACATTCTTAAAGAAAACAATTTGATAACATTCCAATTGCCTCAAGAGTATTATGCACTATCTGCACTCTAATTCAGGGGTCGCCAACCTTTTGGTCCTCAGGGTCCACCAAACTCATAATTTTAGATCCCAGGGACCACTAACTGGTTCTGTGGGTGTGGCCTAATTTGTGGGTGTGGCTTGGTGGTCATGTGACTGGCTGGGCATGGCTTGTATGTAAATATTTCCCATTTTTACCAGAATGGATGGGTCTTTTTGGTTTCTAAAAACATACTTCAATCTATATATTTCAAGTTTAAAGAACTATTGCTTTCAATGGGGCTACTTCCAGGTAATCCCATTGTAGGATTACAGTTTCAGAAAGGGCTGAATCATTATGAGTCCTAAGATTCTCCCAAAAGGTGTTATTAACCCATAAGACATTCATTTGATGCATAATGGTCCATGTACAATATGCTGAACTACATATTCATAAATATTTACTTCTTTCAACTACAAGGACATCCAACATTACACATTTGCTAACAGGAGAGATTAGTGAATTCCAAGTGAATTTGGAAACTGTTTTCCCAATGGTTTTATTTAAAAAATATCAAACAGCTTTCCTTTTCTTGAAATTTAGGTCTGATATAAAATTTAATTTAATAACAGCACAGGAAAGAAAAACACAGAAGCCGATTTCCATGTTTATGAAGTCTTTAATACTAATTTACTAAGATGCAAAACAATAACTGAATTCCCATTCATCTGCAGCCAACAAGATATGAATATTAGCTTCAGACAAAATAAATATGTTAAATTGTGCACCTTAAAAATAATCACGATTTTATATGAATATTAATGAAAGCAACAATGAATAGAAAATGACTGATAGCTTTTTAGATCAAAAATAATTCAAGTATTTTGTAAAGTTCCTCAGACAGTTGTCTTTGAATTTTAAGTTTGTGCAATATCTATCATTGCATAGTAAAGAAAATCTTGTACAACTCCAGTTCTATGTAATTTATTTTAACATGCACCTAGAATATATTGTTAATTTGCGTAGTGGAGTTTTCCTCTCTGAGAATTGGTTGAATTCAGTGGGATCATGCAGCATATCAATATAAGCAATATAAAATTTCCATACATTTCCTGTCGAGTTGAATCCTATCAATGAAGCAAAAATATAACAACTGAAATGATTTTTTTTATTATGTTGAACACCATTACAATAATATCGTGTGGGGAAAAAATTAAGTTGCATATGTTCTTTACAAAATATTGTAAATGAATGTTTATAAAATAAATATAGATCTTAGCAGGGTTGATTATGTAAGGCTAGGACCACTGAAAACATGACAATTCATTTCTGTGAGCTTTGTGGTTGTGTGATCATTTATAGTCTATACATAATCTGTGTATTTAAATATATCTATACAGAACTGAACAGCAGAGGAGAAATTTAGAAAAGAAATTGTATTTCTTATGAAATTGTTAGTGTAACAAAATGTTACCCCAACTCTTTATCATATGTACATAATTGGGGACCAGTGTGGTCTGATTTTTTAAAAAAAATCACATCGCACATTACAATGTTTTGTGAATTACATAAAGATTTTACTTAATATAACAGACTGACCTTTGTAGCCATATTGAATGGCATTGTCTACTGTGGTTACCATTTCTCCCAAAACAAAACCTAAATTTAACACCTATTTATTTTAGTCTCCAATATACTTAAACACAAAGTGGCATTACATAAAATATTTTATAGGGCCATTTTATATTGGAAAAGAGGATTTGAGCACATTACATATAGAATCTATTCCAATTTGTTTTTCAGGTCAGGGAGAAAAGGTAAAATTCATTGCTGACTTTGGAGAGTATTAACCTTAAATATCAGTAATTGCATTCCAGACTTTCCACTGCTTTTTTCATTTACTGTAGAACAGTAACGTCAATACATTGCAAGGATTATGTAATGACCGCAACCTGCTCAATGGAAGCGCCTACCATTTTTGTGGCTAATGCTGCACTATAAGCACAATAAATCACATTAGTAATGGGAGCTGGAGTTTCAGGAAGAGTATTTTTCTTATTTAGGTATGGTAAACGGTTTGTGCCCCTTATGAGGAGCTATTTTTCTTAGTTCCACTGAATTTCAACAGCACAATCTCTAATAGTTCTGAGTCTAAATAAACAAGCAAATAAAGCAAATAAATAAAAGTTCAGGTGCTACAGTTGGCCCAAGGACCACAAGTTGCTCACTCATGAGTTAACTCAAATGGATTTAAAAATGATTGTCATGCCAAACCACTTGATTCACACAATTGTCAATAAAGCTTGGAGAAAGGCATCCCAAAACATTGGTATAGTATTAACTGACCCAGGGAAATCTAAAAATAAATTCAAACATAACTTGAAAAGTATCAGATTTTGCTTTGCTTTGTTTTTTAATGCTAATACACAATGGGTAATATATCTTAAAGGAATAAAACATTTATATACAGATTGAAATGATTTCTATATGATTAACCAAATTATAAATAGCTCATGCCCAAATACCTGTGACTGGGAAAAAAGCTTTTAAGTAAGTTGCTTTTCGTTATGCACTTAAAGCTTATTCCAAAGCAGTCTTCTATAGCAATGAATAATCAAGAATTTGGAGTTTTGGATATGATTGCAGGTTGAGTTTACACTGCTCTGATGTCATAGCAACTGTAATAACAATGTGTTTGTTATCTTATGGCTGCTTTAATGACCATCATTGCTTAATTAGCATGGACACTGCATCCCAGCATAGAAAACCCCTAAGCACAACTGCAGCTGCAAGCACCAGCGCTAACAAAACCAGAGTGGGATGCTGCCTTGTATATTGGAATAAATAACTTTTGGTTGGCCAGCAGAAGTGCATCCATACAAGCAAGCTTTGTTTCTACTACACTTTAGTTAGTTGCTGGAATTTGCCATTATGGCTTTTCACATTTGCTAATTAGAGAAGTGATGAAAAACTTGATTATGGCAGAGCTTGGATGCTTGGAAGAAGGGAAGAGGCTAAATTATTGTTTCATGAATGCCACTTCTCTGTTTAAACAGGATTCAATGTTATCTGGTTATGCACATGGCAATATTCTCGTCGTTTTTTCTAATCCTATCCTCCATGACAGTAACCACATGTAGCTTGGTAGGAAGTAACGTTCAAAGCTATGCTTTGAAAAATAATTACTACAGAAATAAATTCAAAAAGATATGGATATCTGGATGCTGTATATGCACTTTTAAAAACTGAAAGGAGTCCTGAGGGTGAGGAGAGACTGGCCTTTATAAAACAATACACAGAACACCTTAACCTGTTAAAAGCTCTCAGTATTTTACAAGTACTTAAGGCTTATTTAGGCTTCTTTCCTGTCATACAATATGAGGCTGAGAAAGGAAAACAACACGGCAAAATGAAAAAGACATAAGCTTGGCACTTCTGTGATTAATTTGAGAGGGTGTCAGCTTCTTACTATATACACAAAATATCTGCATGGATGCAAATAATGCATTTGAAGAGAGAGAAAAAATCATTGTATACACATTGGTTTTGGATGGACCTTTTTTTTTTTTTTTGGTTTCAAGCATACATATTTAAAAAGCATACCTCTTATTTGTGGAATTTCCCTGCACTATGCCCCAACCTCTAAAATATAAAGTGCTACCCCAAAATTAAATAGGAGCAACATTTTAAGAATGTGTACAGCTTAAGATTACTATGGAATGAAACATTTAAAAAATGTGTAATAATGGAGTTTGATAAGACTTCCCCCTAAGCCTTTTTAAAAAATATATTTCAATGTGGTATGATTTGCCATTCCTCAAAGAGGTTTGCCCCAAAGCAATAAATAAACAAAATAAAGAATACCTATATTAGGTAGAATTAAGGAATTATCCTCTGTTTCATAGGTAAAACCTAGAATCAGCTCTTCTGTGTTTTGTTCTATCATGTTCTTGGTAAATAGATTTTATTTGGGACCCTCTTGCTAGCTCGTTTGCTGTGTTTATGCCATGCAGTTCACCATTTCAGAAATTATCATGCCACTGGAGTCTGCCATTAATATTAAAACATCATGCGAAATCAAATTATTAAGAAATTCTTTACCTATTTAAATAGTTTGAAAGTGTTTACTTATTGCGCTTGGTTTGTTTGTTCCATTTTTGTTTAGAACAAAAAATAGGCGAAATAGTTCCTTCCCAAAGTTTGTTTTGTCCCTAACATCCCCCGAAAAAGAGAGAAATGAGTGGAGGAAGTCCTTGAATTTAAATCTCCCGTAAAGGACAGTTTTCCTTTAGCCCTTTCACAAATGCCTCCGCTTGCCACTGGTAGACAATGGCTGGTATGCTTCTGCCGCAGGAAGAGCCAGCTGCTTCAAATAGCCTCCATAGCCAGAGTCCACATTCAAGCACAGCCACATTCTTCCAGGGAATTTCTTAGATGCCTTGTTGACTTGGATCGTATCTTCTCTTTTTTACATTTCTTCCAATTAAAGGAGAGATAGGAAATAAGAAATAGACTAGTGAGGCATATGGGAACCACAAGTCATATTCATCACATTAGAGTATGGGCTCACATTCAGACTTCCTACATGTAACCTTGAAAAAGTTTCATATTTAAAAGATTTCAAAGCAGAGTTCTGAGAGCAATATTTAAATGAAAATGAAAATGTAATCCTACATAGCATTTTGTACAGTATTAAGGACACACAATAGAGAAGAACTCTGCTGACATATCCAATGGACTGTAATGTATGATGTCTTTTGTGTCAGCCCATAACTGCAATGTGCAATATATACTTTCTTTCTCCAGACAGATACGGCTCTTAAAGCAGAATGGAGGTGTTAATTGCATTATTGAAATTGTGTTGATGTCATTAGCACAGAAAAAGCTTTTAGTATAAAGGTCCATTCTCTTGCCTTATATAAATATGCTATATAACTAAACAGCAAGGCATTACAAAGCAACACAAAAATTGGATGCAACTTCCCCATAATCTGGCTTTATGTGGGGCATCAAGCAAGGGAGTCATGCATTTAGTCTTAACAATGTGCGTGTGCACTGCTCCACCACCACCTTATCATGCAGTAACACATAGAACAGAATTTCACAATTTCCCTAACTTTAAGAAACATAAAAGCCTTTAGTTCTTCCACTGCATGCTCAAATTAAAGAGATTTTGCTGTTTTTATTGCTAGTACTTGCTTTGCTAGTAAAGTATAGATGATTGCCAAAAGAACAAACTTTAACATTCACTTTTGTACTATATACTTCTGTACTATATATTTGAAACATGCAGTTTATAGCTACAGCTCTGTTATAACAATATTTCAATTGGCTTTTATATATGCTTTTGTATATGCCATACATCTCCAAATATATACTGCATCACAATGAATGAATATTCCAGTGTAATACAGTAATACTCATGCCATTGGCAGATTTGATATAACTATCCTAAGACATTAATTATTACAATTGCTGCTCTCAGAAGTAAGTGACTGTTTCAACTCTACAAATTTGCTACTTTTCATAGTATACAATATTCGTCCTATTGTCAGTTATTTTTCTTCTATTCTCATGTTACAACTCAGGATATTTCTTGAATCTTGTTTACAAAATTTTAAGCAACAATGATTTTTTTTGTCCTCAAAGACATCACAGAACACTGCTTTTACTAAAACAAGCTAAAATGGTTCTCTCTGTGGACTTTATGAAAATGAAGATTTGAACACTACGCCTTTGCTATGTTTTCATACCCCAAAATGTTTTAATGATGTATGAAAAATGTATTAAAAATAATGCCCAAACCTACAATTTTTTATAGATTTACAATTATATAGTACAGTAATCTTACATTTTAATGTCAGTTAGAATGACAGTGTATCTTAAAAACAACAAAACAATTTAAAAAGTTATGCATTTGGCAGTGTATATAATATGAAACAATACATGGAAAAATTGGCCATATTGTGGGCTCTTTTCCAACCATAGCCTCATCTTTCATCTACTATTTTCATGTGAAATAGCCTTATGGAAATTACCATATTTAATTTGCCAATTAAGTGTTGAATTTGTGAATTCTATACTTTGTGCAGTAAATATAATAAACAAGGCTATTCCTACTCACAATTCTTCCATATTTAATCAGAATTAAATCTTGTTTATTTCCAACAGTTTTTTCCCTCAATTAAGTATACATAGGGCTATAGTCTACTTCAACTATTGATCTGATAAAATCCCTCTCTAGGAAATAACACTATGAAGTATACCATTAACATGAATTTCTATCTCTATGTTCATGCAGGTGTCTTTACTTTTTAAGACATTATTCTTGCCACCACTACTGAAAACCCCAGTATCGTCTACCTTATCTAGCAGTCTTTTAAATAGTTTGTAACTGATCTCGCATGAAATAAATCTCTTTTCCCAAATAGGAAAAAATGCCAGACAAAGTCGTGCATGTTGGAAGAAGAGAAATATACTGCATGAGTTCAGATCTCATAAAATATAGACAAAGCTTACAATACTCATTTTTATAGTTTTACAGTTTATGTTTTACCAATACAATAACAATAGAATATTGTGCAAAAGTTCATTAATTTCAGTAATGCAACTTAAAAGGTGAAGCTAATATATGAGATAACTCATTACATACAAACAAGATAGTTCAAGCCATGATTTGTCATAATTCAGGTGATTATGGCTTACAGCTCATAAAAACCCCAAATCCACAATCTCAGAAAATTAGAATATTGTGAAAAGGTTCAGTATTCTAGGCTCAAAGTGTCCCACTCTAATCAGCTAATTAAGCCATAACACCTGCAAAGGGTTCCTGAGCCTTTAAATGGCCTCTCAGTCTGGTTCAGTAGGAATCACAATCATGGGAAAGAGTGCTGACCTGACAACCATCATTGACACCCTCCATAAGGAGGGAAAGCCTCAAAAGGTAATTGCAAAAGAAGTTGGATGCTCCCAAAGTGCTGTATCAAAGCACATTAATAGAAAGTTATGTGGAAGGGAAAAGTGTGGAAGAAAAAGGTGCACAAGCAGCAGGGATGACCGCAGCCTGGAGAGGATTGTCAGGAAAAGGCCATTCAAAAGTGTTGGGGCCTTTTACAAGGAGTAGACTGAAGCTGGAGTCAGTGCATCAAGAGCCACCACACACAGATGGATCCTGGACATGGGCTTCAAATGTCATATTCCTCTTGTCAAACCACTCCTGAACAACAAACAACACCAGAAACATCTTACCTGGGCTAAAGAAAAACAGAACTGGTCTGTTGCTCAGTGGTCCAAAGTCCTCTTTTCTGATGAGAGCAACTTTTGCATCTCATTTGGAAACCAAGGACCCAGAGTCTGGAGGAAGAATGGAGAGGCACACACTGCAAGATGTGAAGTCCAGTGTGAAGTTTCCAGTCTGTGTTGATTTGGGGAGCCATGTCATCTGCTGGTGTTGGTCCACTGTGCTTCATTAAGTCCAGGGTCAACACAGCCATCTACCAGGAGATTTTGGAGCACTTCATGCTTCCTTCTGCAGACGAGCTTTATGGGGATGCTGACTTCATTTTCCAGCAGGACTTGGCACCTGCCCACACTGCCAAAAGCACCAATGACTGTGGGATTACTGTGCTTGATTGGCCAGCAAACTCACCTGACCTGAACCCCATAAGAGAATCTATGGGGCATTGCCAAGAGAAAGATGAGAGACATGAGACCGAACAATGCAGAAGAGCTGAAGGCCACTATTGAAGCATCCTGGTCTTCCATAACACCTCAGCAGTGCCACAGGCTAATAGCTTCCATGCCACGCCGCATTGAGGCAGTAATTGCAGCAAAAGGGGCCCAAATCAAGTACTGAGTACATATGCACGCTTATACGTTTCAGAGGTCCGATATTGTTCTATGTACAATCCTTGTTTTATTGATTGCATGTAATATTCTAATTTTCTGAGATTGTGGATTTGGGGTTTTCATGAGCTGTAAGCCATAATCACCTCAATTATGACAAATCACGGCTTGAACTATCTTGCTTTGCATGTAATGAGTCTATCTCATATATTAGTTTCACCTTTTAAGTTGCATTACTGAAATAAATGAACTTTTGCACGATATTCTAATTTTTCGAGTTTCACCTGTATATCAACCCATAAATGAAATTTGCATATGGTCAGCAATTCTTTAAAGATTCTTGGATAGTTAATTATTGTGAATTCAGTCCTCATAAAAACTGTTTTTATTTTCATTTTATTACAACTAATTTAGATATGCTTGTAGGAAGTAATCTACCAGAATTATGTTTACTTACAATGCCTTGCTAGATAATTTTGCTATACCAACTTTATTAGAATAATCTTATAATGTGTGGTTTCAAAGACAGAATTTGATAAACATTCCATGAACACCAAAAGACAGAAGTGGAAACTCAAAGCAAAATACAAAACATACTTGGACCAGATCAAAATATGAAAATATACATCTTTTGAGATTGTAATGAAAAAACAACCCTTCGATAAAGAAGGCAAAGAAAATGCCTATGCTGGAATGAAGCAAATGCTCTTCAAAATTAGAAAGTAATTTGTCATAGTTCTAAAGTTGCTTCCATGCAGTATCATTATCCTGCTGTGTGAGAATCACCGTGGTTGCTATCTGGAGCTTAGTGAATGAGGAAAAAGAGAGAAAGAACAGCTCTCAGCTGCACAATGGAGGAAAAGAAACTAGCACTCCAGGCAATGTCTCATCCCAACCATGATTGTTTCCTGTTGACATTTTATTTCAAAGCAGCCTATCACCAAACAGCCAACTCTTCAACATGCTGAGGAACTGTAAAAACTGAACGCTGGAAAAAGATCAGGAGTTCCCAAAAGAAAACTGACATTTTCATGGTGAAATAGTTTGAAAACTGGTTGCTACGTGATTTGAATGCAGGATGGAGAGAAAATCTTTGACTGTAAGCCTTATTTCTTCCAAAAATGTATAGCTTAAGCCTACAATAATTGGATAGTGAAGCAATTAGGATTCCAAAATGGACAAGGGTGGCATTTGGAGGAGAGGAGGTTCCTGGATTTTTGTTTTGTTTCGGTTTTACTTCTGGTGTATTAAGACTAAAGGAAGGTATAAACTTCTTATACTATTTTTCATCTGCTTCTCTTTGGTTATCGGCTGAAATCGGGAGTAAGATATCTCGTGGCTTTGGACTATGTGCAACCTCTAGTTGATATGCTGCTCTCCCCTTGCTTATTAATGAATTGGGCTATTCTTACAAGAAGCTCTACTTTTCACTTTTGGACTTTGTCCAGAATTTTTGTTTAATTGAAACTGGCCATTCCCACTAAAGGGAAGCTCATCAATATAGTATTTTACTCTTGGATGAAATGAGACGACCCAAGCCATGAATTATGATAGAGGACCACTCCCTGAAGCCCATGTTTCAAAGTGATAATTTGCTATTTTTATTAAGTGACTGCATCCTATTAAAGTCT